TGGAGAACATTCTAATACATATTATATTAGCAAGAATAAAAGCAGGACTTATTTTGCAGTGTCTGAAACTGAGTTAGCTGTGCCAAAACCCGTTCAGTTATCTGTAAACAATATTTAACACCATCTGACATATTCACTGTCACTCCATGCTCTGTGAATCAAATATAAAATTATGTGCAAGAAAAAACCCTACAAACTTATTTTGTCACAAATAAGCTAGGAATTTTGAAGATGGTCAGCTCCACTTGTCAACAAGAATAAGCAAGAAGAAAAATAATGGCTAAGACTAACAGAGAAACAAGTCAAGAAGGCTTTCAATCTGAAAGGGCTGCCTCCCAGAAGAGGAGTTTGCAGTGCATGATTAACTTCCTTATATTTTCTCCAGAATTTGTTAGATATCTTGCAGTTAATAAATAGGGGCGTCCAGCTTTAAGAATAAAATTTGAACACTCAGAAGGAGTAGCTAGATCTACTACTATTTTCAGTAGTGTCAATAAATTACCTAAAGGTTATTTTCCAAAGTTGAATCAGAATCAGGTTTTGTGCTTCAAACGTCTTTAAAATTTATGCATGATTTCCTCTGACATTGTGTCTCAGGCCCACCCCTCTGCATTATATACACAAACTTGGAAATTTGTGAAATTGTTAAGTTGTATTCCTCCATTTGCAGATTGATGGCAATTGAAAATGATCACCACAGTGTGTCACCACAGCTAACACTACATTGCAATCAGATTCACTTGAGCATTTCTCTACAAGTCAGATCACTTAATTTTTCTTTTGGCCATTGATCTTTTACAGCACCTGCAGCTTTTTGTTTTTCCTCCAAAGATCATCATTTTACTTTGAAATCTATTGACTGCGATATGTCTAACCCAATCCTGTAGAGGCAAGGAACTGAATAATTACTTCATGAATGCCATATTAAAAGTGGTCCAAAGACTGTTTAGGCTGCTCATTAAAGTCATTGGGAATTTGGCTGGGCAAGAGCTCCCTGCTTTGGTCATGCAACAGGGCGGGGGGAAGTGCTCCAAAGATTGTTATTTTCTAATTATTTGTGTTGTGGTACCACAAAAGGATTTGATTAGCACCCTTATGTGCTTAAAACTTAAAGAACAGATGCCACACGCTGGAAAAAAAAAAGCAGAACAGATAATAAAGTTTGCCTTTAAGATCAAAATTATTAGAGTTGAAATTAAAATAATGTTCAAAATAGAAGTATAGTTAGGATAAAATTTTCAAAGCTCAGTTATGTGTAATACCGCTCAGTGCCTATTGTGGTAGCAAAGAGTAAAATCCTGGGGCCTCTGAAGCTGTCAGGTTTTTGAGACTGAATGAGGACTCCAATTTTTTTTTTTTTTTTTTTTTTTGTAAACTGACAAATTTGATTTTATTGCATGCTACTGAAACAGAGTAAATGTCCTGACTTCAGACTGCAATGTAGCAAACATATAGGAACAGACAAGCACATATAGATTCACAGTTGGAGTAAGAAATCTGTTGGGTTGGGAGTGCTACCTTGTCAGATAGAAGACACTCAAACCCACTGGCTCAAGCCTTTGACTGGCACTGGACTATGAGAGTCAAAATAGAGAGAAAAATCTCCATTTCTGTGCTTCCTTCTTCCTTTGACAGAAAGAATTTTATATTTATCTTTAAGACTAGGCAGTCTGAATTTGTTTCAAAATGATGTATAATATCAAGCTTCATTTCTGTAAATATATTTCTGAAAACAGACTGGAAATTAGTTGCTTGCATGTTATGCTCTGTGGCTGTACTTAGAATTGGGGTGGTTCTCCTTTAAATAACCATTCAGAAGCACCGAGATCTAGGCAGTTGTGTATCAATTAGGGTGCATTTCTTAGTGTGAGCTGCCTGGAAATGCAAAATGACAAATCTGAGCATTAAGCTTCCTACTATCATTTTGCTTTCCTACCGCTAACTACAAATCAGCTTCATTGTGACTTACAGTGTAAGAAGTTGGTGCATTTCTGCAGATCCGTGATAAGATATTTTTCTCTAGTAAGAAACGCAGTTAGACTCTGCATTCTGAATCTGTCCCTGCCAGGCCCTAGATGCATTAGTATTCCACTAGCAGCTGCCTGTAGGTAGGAATATTGTTTTTGTCCATAACCAGAGGGAACAATCAGACTAAGCCGTTCCCCGGCTATAAACCAGCCAAAGTAATTGGGTTTAATTTTAATTTTTGTAATAGCTTTAAATTAATAGGAGCAGCTGCTGCCACAGTGTGTGGGTGTCCTTTTCCAGAAGGCATAGAACAAAAAAAAAAAAAAGGTAAAGAGTAAACAATAGTGTGTCTAGGACACAAAGGTTAATTCAAGAACTGAGCAATGTCTTTTCGTTATCAAAAACTCAGTTGGTGATATCTAGCACTGTGTCTCTTTTCTTTCTTTTTATTTTCCTTTTTTCTTTTTTTTTTCTTTAATTCTCTGATAAGATCTCAATCTGATTAGGCTCCTGTGTGTAAGCTGTGTTGTTGGTATCGAAACACTAACTCTCTTTCTCTATATGACTCACAAATAGATTAGCAGTGACAAAGTGCTAGGAGAGATAAAAATAGATTAGCAGTGACAGGAGTACTATTATAATTATTTTTGGAAGATATGGTTTGAGTTAAGAGTTTGGGCACTTTCTGCCCTGAGAGGGTGAATTTAAACCTGGGAACTGAGGATGGTTTCTGCTGTTGTGTCAGACACCAGATAGTGAAATGTCAATACCAGATGTCCTAGAAATCAAGATTAGCCATAATAGCCAAATGCAGCCATAAAACGATGTGTCAAAGTGGATAATAAAACAGATGCTTAGCTTCTATAATGAAGGGGAGAGGGAATGAAATATCAAAAGTGCCTTTAATACATTAACGAAGTTGTCTTCAACTTGCCTAAAAGTAGAAAGTTATTGAACCAAGGAGAACTATGTGTCATTTAAACATTAACTATCAGCAGATGAATTTCAATTAACATTAGCCTTTCTAAAATCCTGAATTTCCTCCTATTGGTCTCATTTTACATGAAATTTTTATAGCATAAAGTGGGGCTTGTCCTTTCTTATTTCTCCCATGTTAATTTGGAAACAAATAAAGTTCAACAACTCAGCAACATACTGTTTAAACTTGCATTATGGTTTGAGGACTGGGAGCTAGAATACATTTACCCACTGCCATATCATCTGCTTGATTTGAGATCAAATGAGGGATGTCCTATAGCACTCCAGAGTAAGGGCAAATGATAGAAATATGTTAAGATACTGGAGAACCCTATTAGGTTAGGGTACTGCATGCAGACAGCTGGTGGCATTTTTCCCCTACTGATACTTAAAAAAAAAAATTAAAAGAATTGTTAATCTGTCCTTCATATTTGTGGCTTAAAAATCATTTTCAGATCTTAGTGATAAGCAAGTGTCTTATTTAACCAAAAATGCTGAAGTAAATTCTTGAAGCCCTGAATGTTCAAGAACCAGGGCAATAAAAGGGGCAAATAAATTCTTATTTCAAGTCTAATTAACTGCATCACTGGCTCTTTATTGTATTTTTTCAGGAACATCTCAATTCCTTTCTGTTTCTCTTTGTAGCTCCTGAGTCTTGCTGATCAGACTCCTTAACTGCTGCTAATTGGCAAACGCGTACTTCTGCGTAATGAGAGGGTTTTGTTCTCTATTTCATATTAGCAATGAAAGGCCAAAACTGATGCTCTGCAGTAGACCAGCTTCTCGGAACTATTACAAAGAGGCACATTACTACTGCTATGTCTGTAAATCTTATTATGTTTTCCCTCACCATGATCCTAGTTTAGCTGATATCTGCTCCAATCGCTAGATTAGACCTGTTTATAATGTTGTGTAATTGAATCAGTTAGAGTCTGCAGGACCATAGTGTTTTGTTGCCAAACATGACTGGTAAGTTAGTTACATCAAATTACAAGTGCATGGCATGACTAGAGAACCTCCCGTTTTAATAAAGCTAGAAAATCCATCTACAAAATGAAGAAAGAATACAAACAGAAATATAGAACATCTGTAGTCCATAGAACAAGTGTTTGACCCACCTCTGAAATGTTACTCATTTCTGTTGAGAAATAACAGAATAATTGAAGTTGGGTGAAAGATGTCAGCCAGACATTTGTTGTTCCTTAAACAGATACCAACTTGATAACAATGACATAAATGTCTCTATTATAAGTATTTACCATCATGTATATTCATTTTTATCTTGTCAGCACTATAAGCCAGAACTCTCGAGGAGGGCAGCAATCCAATTTGGAACATGACCAAATACCCTTTTCTCCTTTGCTTACTAATTTAGGACCAGGTTATTTTCCATACCTGCAGTTTTTTGTTTGGGTTTGGGGTTTTTTTTTTTTCATCTCAAGAATTTATCTTTTCCTCCATTCATTGACTAGGTGTTGACTATTAAGGGTAATAAAAATATAAAGACATCCTGAATTTTGGTAACAGTTCTGTCAATGTTGCCTTATACTGACATTCCTTCACTAATTATGTCTTGCCTCTGTGCTGGTGAATTAGGCCTGTATGTAAAGATGTAGCCACACTCCAGCCAGCGGTTTGGCTGAAGCCTGTGTAGTGGTATGAGATTGCACCAGCTTGATAGCGAAGTCGAGGATAGCTTAACTGCCTGTGCATCCTTTTCACTTCTTGGGAGTGGGTTTCTTTGGTTGTGCGATGCTCTCCCCTGCTATGGTGACTCTGCCAGCTTGGGCACTGGGAGAGAGCTGCAGTCCCTGTGGTCACTGATGCACCGGCACAGTGGCTGTGCTGTGCACGGGCCCCTGGCATGGAGGTTGTTTGCATGAGTGCTCCAAAATGCAGGCTCTGGGATCTGCTCACCAGCTCCTGAGCTGTTCAAGCTGTTACATTTCATTTGCTTTAAAGGAAATTTGAATCTCACATAGCCTTTTTGTTCAGATTCCTTATGTTAATGTATATATATGTCAATGTATATATATGTTATTTTTGTTTTTTAGGCAAAGAATACCCTCTAAAAATGTGTATTACTATCGCTGCCCAGACCACAGGAAGAACTATGTCATGTCATTTGCTTTTTGCTTTGACCGAGAGGATGACACTTATCAATTTGCTTACTGCTATCCCTACACCTATACTCGCCTTCAGCACTATCTTGACAACCTACAAAGGAGGAACATGGACTACTTTTGCAGAGAATTGCTAGGACTCAGTGTGGTAAGTAATAGGCATACTTGCCAACTAGCAGGCTTCATTATGAATATCTACCGTTAAATGCTTATAGAGTATAATTCATCATCGCTGCTACAGTACGCACATGCACATATTTGTTTTACTGCTATCAATGACACCATGCATACCTGCATGGTGAAATATAGACAAATGTTAATTTAATTTCACATAGAATACTTCCTTTGTGATATGCAAGGCAATGCTAAATTCCCATGCAGGATCAATTCACCTCTAAAGATGTTAAAAGATGAAACTGAAACAGCTTTATTTAAGAAATGTGATTTTGAGAGTACTCTGTCTATTTTTCTTTCTGGAAGAGCTTTTCTGTTCAGAAGAAAATATGTGTCTTTGGAACTAGAGTATAGCTTTTCTTGGTAAAATCATAGATTCGTCAAGGTTGGAAAAGACCCTTAAGATCATCGAGTCCAACCGTTAACTTATCACTGCCAAGTCCATCTATACCATGTCTTCGAGCACCGTATCTGTCTGTTCTTTAAATACCTCCAGGGATGGAGACTCAACCACTTCCCTGGGCAGCCTGTTCCAATGCTTGACCACCCTTTCGGTGAAGAAGTTTTTCCTAATATCTAACCTAAACCTCCCCTGGCGCAGCTTGAGGCCGTTTCCTCTTGTTCTATCACTCGTTACTAGGGAGAAGAGACCGACCCCCACCTCGCTACAACCTCCTTTCAGGTAGTTGTAGAGAGCAATAAGGTCTCCTCTCAGCCTCCTCTTCTCCAGGCTAAACAACCCCAGTTCCCTCAGCCGCTCCTCATAAGACTCGTGCTCTAGACCCTTCACCAACTTTGTTGCCCTCCTCTGGACATGCTCCAGCACCTCAATGTCCTGCTTGTTGTGAGGGGCCCAAAACTGAACACAGTATGATGCAAAACATACACAAACTACCTATTTTATTTACTCTTAAAATGTCTGCTTTGGTAATTTAAAATTAAAAGGCGTTTAGTGGTCTCAGTATAGATCCTAGTGGCCACATGAAAATGAAATGTGATGGTTCTTCTGGTGCAGGAAGGAGGGTTAATGGTAAGGCTGAACTTCTGCTCACTTTGCTATAACCTTTCTCTGAAATGTTGCCTGTTCTGAGGATTTGGAAAGCATGACTCAGCCACTCCCATATCAACTCAGAAATCATCACATTAAAAAATAATAGCTGAAATCTTGGGTTGTTTTTTTTTTTTTTTCCTTTTGTGTTCTCAGACTTTATAGTGCATTTGTCCCACATTCTTAATCTTTTCTCTGAGATTTGATTTGGTCTATACTTGTAGCCTGTGTGTCAGAAAAAGAAAGCTGCGATTCCTATGAAGGCTGCTAATCCCAGCAACTGGGGCTTTATAAGAATCCCAGCATAAATTGTGAAAATCAGAATGAAATCGTATGTATAACCTGCACTGGAATAAATAAAAGGCTTCCAGCATTAGAGCAGGCCTTTGAGATCCCTACAGTGGCATAAAACTTGGAGGAAAAAATTAACTTATGGAGAAGAGTAAAAACAGAATTAACAAAAGAAAGCTTTTTTTAACCCTTTTGTCAGTTAAGTACAGTTCTTGTTCTAAAGATGACTATTACATATCCCTGAACTGGTATTAATTATTAATCACTCCAACTACAGGGACAAACAATTATAAGGGAAAGGGGTATTAAAAAAATAGAAAAGTAAAATCTTCAGAGAGTGGCAGGAAGGAGCACTACCATTTTAATGTGTGTAGGGTTTTAATTATTAATCTTAGAGGACAGAACTGTCATTAATTCTATAATGAAACTGAATTTGTTTCCTTTCACTCTGAAAATAGTGTATAAACAGCCACATTTGCATATTCATCAACCCCCTGATCTGACTGATTAAAACATTGAGATAGAAGGATTTGTCTTTTATCTGCATTTTGACAGACAGAGCTATACTCTTAAATCTTGTTAACATTGTGTTACCAGTAGTTGCTAAATATTATTTTTCATATTTTAGCAAACTAAACAAACAGATGCCATTCAAAATGTGGCAGGAAATGCGCTGTGTATAAGTCCTGATTTTATATCTATATGTACACACACAGTATGTTTTGCAGAAATTGATATGGTAACATTTTGCAGCTCACCATGCTGATCTGTATAAAAAGCTTCTGAATCAGGCTCATGCTGTAATCTTTGTAAGTAACATTACAATCTTGGAGCATTTCTGGCTTTTCTCCACACACAACTGTCCTAGAACAGCTTGGTAATTTAATGTCTTTGCTGAGCTTGAATAGACAATTTCCATAAGTTCTCTGCAAGTTAAATATTTTAACATAGAGCTTTGTTGCTATCATACATCTTTAAACGGTGAAAAACAGGATCCTTCAGTCTTCGCTGCACAGTGCTTCATCAAAGCAGAAGCTGGCTGTACTTTAGAGAATTGCGTGCCATACAGGATAGATTTAGAGCTGAGAAAGTGAGCTCCGTCCCTGCTCTGGCCCCTTACGTAAGAGAAGAGGAATCAGATCGCCATAGAGAGACCCTTAAAAACTCTATTCCTGGCAAAGGAATAGACACCCCTGGTAGCACATGGTGAAAGGTAACTTAAATATGCCATCTGAGGACAAACTCAAAAGCCCTTATGCTGGGCACAGGGCTGAAGCAGAGTAGCATGTTGGGCGAAAGGCTGCGGCATATCTGTCGAGCTGCCATGTAGCCACCAATACACTCTGGTTCATTCCAGGGGAATCTTACAGCTCCCTGCAGCAGTTTGTGATTGTGAGGATGGAGAATGGTTTGAAACAATTTCACTTCTCCTGGATTATGAAGTTTTGAACTGTGCCTCTTGGAGACAACAAAATCTTGCCACAGATCTTTGGGTTTTTTTTATTTTTCTTTGTCGTGGAAAAATAAAATGCAAGTCACAAGAAACCATGCTTAGATGATTACTCCTGAAGGCTTTCTGAGTGCACATTTTGCTGTATGTAATGTTTTCAAGGCAATCTAATTTCTAATCTAATTTCATATTTTCTCTAAAGAAAGTACTATGCCTCCATTAACTCCTTAAATACTTTCATTAATTCTATGAAAATTGAAAGTGAAATATCAGTATGGGACATGTAATTGTCATTAGGATGCAGAATGGCAAAGTGGTTCAGAGCCAAATGGCAAAGATTCCCATCGCCAGTGTGAATGGATAACTTAGCTGTTCTATTTCTGACCTTTTAACGTTTATATTCTTTACTTCAGGGAGCTATCTGAAAGCCTAGATGTGCCAAATGGTCTTGAAAATAGTCTCTCCTGTAAGATAGCTATGATGGTCACCCAGGTATCATTTAAACTGCCGTTTTCATTCTGCCATTGTTGGCCTTAGGTAACTTCAGATAAGTTCAAAATCTGTGAGCATTTTTTAAAATTGTGAAATTATTTTTTTGCATATTATTGATGTCTGTCATCTCTGCATATATTATGCAATATTGTACAGCATAATATAATGAAAAATAATTTTATATTTCTGTGAAAATATAAGCACAGGCTTAATTTACATTTATAGTACCTATTTTATGATACTTGTACAGTTTTGTGTGTAGTAACAGTTATGTGTAACATTATAAACAATATTTCAGAGTTGGCAAAATTTTTGAGTGTGTTGTCATTTGAAGGTGGTAGTCTAAACTAGCTGTACATATTTGAAGTATGTGGAGAATTGATGAGACCTGCACCTCTACTAATATTCCACCGTCACACATACTATATTAAATGTGTTTTGGTGAGCCTGGCTCAGCTCCTACAGCCCACTTTACAAATCACCACTGGCTTGGCAATATTTTCATTACTCACTGAAAAGAGAGCCAAGATTAATTGGAGACAGATACTTCCTTTCACCCCATTAGGCAATGGTGCTTCCAAATTACACTTGAGGAGAATTGCAACTGCACGTACAAACCACAAGCCTCAAAGGGACTTCCACAGTACACAGAGACTGGAATATGGAATTCTGTTAAATTAAATATTAAACATACATATTTTAAAACAAGAAGGCAATATGCCTAATGCAGAGCTCTGTAAGTGAGCCAATCTCTTAAATCAGACATGAGATACTGAGTGAAACAGATTGGAACACAAGGTGCTTCATTCTGACTCCACACCACTTTGATGCGTGCTTTTAATTTACATAAGATACTCCGGACTTATGCTGGTATCAGAGAGATATGAATAAGGCCCTAAGACTGTGAAACTGCACACCAGATGTCACATTGCTGGTTCATTGATCAAATATCCATTATTTACTGTCTAAATGACTGGGCACCCCAGTAAAAATAGTTGATCAGTTCTACTGATATCTACTGGTCTGTTTTTAACTGCTCAGTTATGACTGCTTTAAAGCATGAAGCAAAAAAAAATAGACAATTTTTCTAAGGTTAAATTTCCCATTTCTACGTTCAGTGTTAGGTTATGTAATAACAGTTCTGTAAAAGAAAAGTATACTCTTTGTCTTTGAAAAAAATAGAAGTTACAGGTTTCAGTGTGATACATCACACCTTTGAAATCATGCTGGTATCAGATTTTGTACTTTCCAATGGATCTGGCTGCAACTAGGTTGAAATGTCATCTAAATGCAATTTGTGGCAATTTACTTGGTCTGAAAAAGGCCACGGAAATAATGCTTAAAAAAAGTAAACCCAACTTCTCATTTCTCTAGAATGTAAAAGTGCACCTACATGTATGTTCAGGGCATAATTTCTTTATTCAGTGGTGTATCTATTTGCTCATATAGTACTGCTTTTCCCATAGCATTCATAAAATGGATGTCATCCCCAAACTGTGTGTGAGATTTTAAATGTTCCTATGGCTATTTTCTTAGCTGTGTTGGATATCAGCAGAAGTAGAGTTGGACCTAAAAATAACACCACCAACAGTTCTTTCTGAAATAAAATAGGATTTATAGTATATAATAGCACAGTATGCTACCAGGGAAATTATATAAATAACATGAAAAATAACAGGGAACTATTCTATAT